TTAGTTTCTTACTCAGATTTCACTGGTTTTTCCACTGGTGTCCTCCTCCTGTTCCAGAACCCCACAGTCCGTGCAGTCCTCGTGCCTCCCTGTGTCTGTGGCAGTATCTCAGACTCTCTTGGTTTTTCATGACCTTGACACTTTCAAGGAATGCTGCTCAGGTGTTCTGGGGACTGTCCCTCAGTTTGGGTTTGTCTGATTTCCTCATGATTAGCCTGGGATTATGGGTTTTTAGGAAGAATACTACACAGGTGTCTTCTTGTCACATCATGTCAGGGCTACCTGCTACCAACAGGACTTATCACTGTCAAGTTCGCCTGGATCACCTGGCCAAGGCAGCGTTTGCAGGTTTCTCCACTGTCAAGTTATTCCCCTGCTTTCTGTACTCTGTTCTTTGGAAGCAAGTCACTAATGGCAGCCTACACTCCCAAAAGGGCGTAAGGGAGGCCGGGGGTGGTGGCTTACGCCTGTAATCCTAGCACTCTGGGAGGCTGAGGCGGGAGGATCGCTCAAGGTCAGGAGTTTGAAACCAGCCTGAGCAAGAGCGAGACCCCATCTCTACTAAAAAAAATAGAAATGATCTGGACAACTAAAAATATATATATATAGAAAAAATTAGCCGGGCATGGTGGCGCATGCCTGTAGTCCCAGCTACTCGGGAGGCTGAGGCAGGAAGATCGCTTGAGCCCAGGAGTTGGAGGTTGCTGTGAGCTAGGCTGATGCCACAGCACTCTAGCCTGGGCAACAGAGCGAGAGACTGTCACAAAAAAAAAAAAAAAATGTGTAAGGGGAGGGAATAGCTACCAAAACTACTTGGAATTCTTCTGTAAGGAAGATTTGTTCCTTCTCTCACATGTATTTATTTATTCAATCATTTATATCAGTTTGGACTCATGGATAATTATTTTGTAATTTATGTTTTATCCAATACATTTTTTTTTTTTGAGACAGAGTCTCACTCTGTTGCCCTGGCTAGAGTGAGTGCCGTGGCGTCAGCCTAGCTCACAGCAACCTCAAACTCCTGGGCTCAAGTGATCCTCCTGTCTCAGCCTCCCAAGTAGCTGGGACTACAGGCATGCGCCACCATGCCCGGCTAATTTTTTCTATATATATATATTTTTAGTTGTCCAGATCATTTCTCTCTATTTTTTTTAGTAGAGATGGGGTCTCGCTCTTGCTCAGGCTGGTCTCGAACTCCTGACCTTGAGCGATCCACCCGCCTCAGCCTCCCAGAGTGCCAGGATTACAGGCATGAGCCACCCAGTACATTATTTTGTTGCTTAAATTCTTCCAGGTTTGGAGGCCCGGCATGGTGGCTCACGCCCTATAATCCCAGCACTCTGAGAGGCTGAGGTGGGAGGATCGCTTGAGCTCAGGAGTTCGAGACCAGCCTGAGCAAGACTGAGAGAGACCCTGTCGCTACAAAAAAATAGGAAAGAAAACTTAACCGGGCATGGTGGCACACCTGTAGTCCCAGCTCCTCAGGAGACAGGCTGGAGATCCCTTGAGCCCAGGAGATTGAGGCTGCAGTGAGCCATGATGATGCTACTGCACTCTTGAAGCCTGGGGGTTAGAACAGGACTCTGTCTCAAAAAATAAATAAATGAATGAATGAATAAATAAATAAAATTGTTCCAGGTTTGGCCATTGAGGGCTCTTTCCAGTAGGCTCCTCTGTCCCTGTGACATCAGTGCTGTTTTCTATGCCTTACTCTCCAGCACTACAAGATGCTCCAGGCTCTTCTGGTGTTTGTCCTGCCCAACCTTAGAATCAGCCAGTTCTCTAAGGAGACTGGTTCCTTTTACTGGAGAATGGTATTAAAAACCAAGATCTAGGTGCTGGATGGGTTTATTGCTACTGAGGTTTCACTTCTAGGCGCTCTCAGTTGGGAGAGCTAGAAAATGCATGTGTGCATACTTACCCAGGTATATACACATGTCCCTCCATTATGTTTTGTCACTGGTAGCTATTTACATTAAAAAATGGAATTGTTTGGCCTGGGGTGGTAGCTCACATCTATAATCCCAGCACTTTGAGAGGCTGAGGTGGGAGGATCACTTGAGGCCAAGAGTTTGAGACCAGCCTGGGCAGCATAGCAAGACCCCATCTCCACAAAAAATAAACAAATTAGCTGGGCATCATGGAGCACACCTGTAGTCCCAGCTACTTGGGAGGCTGAGAGCCAGGAGGACCACTTGAGCCCAGGAGTTTGAGGTTGCTGTGAACTATGATCATGCTTCTGTACTCTAGCCCAGGTGACAGAGCGAGACCCTGTCTCAAAAAAAAAGAAGAAGAAGAAAAATGGAATTGTTTTATATGTAGAAATTTCGTCTCCCCAACCTTACTAAATTATCTTGTTTTTCTCTTTGTATTATCTCACTGCTTCCCACAGCAACCATGAATTCAGGACAAGTATCCCCTTTACAGAGAAGGAAACTCAAGCACAGGGAATTTAAATAACTTGGACAGGTGACACAGCCCTGGGAGGAGGTTTCAAACCCAAGAAGAGAAACCTTCAGGGGACTGAAGTCTAGCCCCATCCTGCTTCCTTGTGTCCTTATGCCTGTAAGACTGGCCACAGTCAGGGGAAGTCATGATGATGATGAGGAAGGACCCACCACGCAGCAAGCATCTGAGCAGTCGAGGTACCCCCCATTCGTGGCTCAAGGAGGTGACTTACTGCTGGGGTAAGTGGTGTGGAGCCATGATGAATGGCCGGGACAGAAGACGGTTAGTTGTCAGTGGTGTGGCTCAGACAGCTGGGCCAGAGGAGTCCAGAGCAAATGCCACCTAGGAGGTGGCTGCAGTCTGGCATGCCTGACCCCAGGGGAGGACTGGGACCAGGCCCTGTTGGGAAGAAGCAGTGTGGGGGAAGGTCAGGTGGAAGGGCGGGTGCCAAGCTGGCAGCATTGGGAGGCTGTTGAACTGGGGGAAACAGAATTCCCACCCGGTGCTGGTGCCTGCCCCTGCCCCCCCACCATCTGTGGCTTGATCCTTCAGGACTCAACTTAGGTGTGTCATTGGGCCCTTCCCAAGCCCCTCACCCCCAGCCAGGCTGGTGTCTCCTCCAGGCCCCCTCGTCTCCCCAGGCCTGGACCAGCCCAGGGCTCCTAGTTCCATCTGTCTGTGCCTAGCCACATGTCTGTCTCCCTCACAAGCCACAGAGGGCAGGCAGTGACCAGATGAAGTTGGGCTTCTCAGAAAGTCAGGCTCCGGAGCCCAAGGTCCTGGGTTCCAGTCTCTGTGCTGCCACTTTCCTGCTGAACAACTGTGGCCAAATCACTGCATCCCCCAAGCCCCAGTGAGCATGGCTTATAGGAAGGCTCGGCACATGGCAGGTCTGTGATAAACGGGACCTGTCGTGAGTATCTGCTGCTGGTGCAAGTCTCCTAGGGAACGTGGCACGCCTGTGGAGTTTGCAGGACTTTGTGGGAGCTTGAGGACATTCCCAGTCCACAGTGTCCCCCATCATTCCAGAAACACACACTGGGACCCAGTGATGCCTCACACACAGCTCTGTTTGTGGTTCCTGAAGAAGCACCGCCCAAGAAGGGGGCCCTGTGTTGGAGAGGGAGGCAAGGAGGATCTTCCAGAGGAGAACACCCAGAACTGGCCCCCAAAGGAGGGCGGGAGAGTCCCTAGCAGATGAGTGCCAAGAAGAAAGGGGGGGCTTAATTTATTCACTCCTGCCTTGCTCCCCAAAGCGATTGAAACAGCTCACAGAAGCCAGAAAAGTTAAAAACCCAGAAGTCTGAAAAGTTACGCTTTGAGAGGGGAAACAAAGTGAAGGGAAAATCATGGCAGAGAGAAAGATGAAGTCAGGGCTCCACACTTACTGAGCTTGACGACCTAGAACATTCGACAGAGGTCACTCTGAGCTCCCTAGTGGCTGAGGAGCGGAGTGCAGGTGGCCCCAGGCCCCTGATCCAGCCTGGGAGGATGAAAACACACCTGCTCTTCGGGAGAAACCCCAGTCAGGGTTTCGCTTTTCCTCTCCCGCTGCCACTTCCCAGGCTGGGGTGGGTATGTTGCCCACAGAGATGTCCGTGCATTTCACCCACACCTGGCCTTGGCTGCAGGGCAGAGATGTGGGAGCCCCACCGCTGCAGAACAGGCAGTGTGTGGGGTACAAACCCAGACTTTCCGAGCTGCGTGATGGGGAAGGACTTCCCCACTAGGTCCAGGGAGGGGGCCTGGGCACTGGAGAGTGGTTTAGAGGCTGCACCCCTTTGAGGAAAGCTACAGGTAGAGACTCGGGCAGGAAGCATGGCCTTAGCAGTGTTGGAGGTGGTGTCTGGTTCTGTCTATATTTAATCACCTCCAGCCCTATTGGGCCAGGAGGGCTCGGTATGTGCGGGGCTTAGCACCCTCTGTCCCCACCTGTCCTCCAGGACGGTCATTTGAAATAGGGTCCAGTGCTGGCCATTTACCCGTGTAGGCAGGAGGAAGGTGGGAGGGGCCTCGGCGCAGCAGCGGAGACCGCGAGGTTGCAGCCCCCACCGCACTTCTAACCTTGGCGATCTCCCTCTCGGACCTCAGTTTCCTACTCTCTCAAGGGGCGGCACCAAGTTGAGGCTGTAGGTTCAAGGATCACGTAGGTCATAGCTTAGTAAAGGGCCGGACACAGAGTAGGTTCTCAAGAAACTGCAGAAGCCCCTCGAGGCGGCTGTCTGTGATGGATGGGGAGCAGAGACCCAGCGCAGTGCGGCGGTGCGCCCAAGGTCACGCAGCCGCCCCCGCCCCCGCCCCCCTTCCGAGCCCGGTGGCCAGACTCCAGGGGGCCGGGGTGTGTCAAGAGCCAGCTCGGGGGGCCAGCGGGCTTTGGAGGCGCGCACGCGGACGTGGGTGGGAAGGGACTGCTATTTTGGAGCAGGTGAGAGGAGCGCGGAACGGAGGGGGATGGGGCCCTCCTGGGGCTCCCTGCCCCCAGTCACCTTCCCGAGACCCTTCCCGGGAGGGGCGTCCCGGGGAGGCAGGGGGGGTGGGAGGGGCGGGCGGGCGGTTACCTCATCGCCGCCTCCGGGAGGCCCGGCTCGCTCGCTCGCGCGCCGGCTGGGGCGGCGACTCCAGGCGCCGAAGCGAGAGAAGGACAGAGGGACAGAGGCTCCGAGAGGCAGCGCCGGCCCCCGCGTCTCGCGCCGCAGGGAGGTCGGACCTCGGGGCCCCGCGCTCCCAGCGCCGCCTCGGTTCGCGCTGCGGGGCGGAGGCTGTGTCTGAGTGCGGCGCGCCGGGTCCGCCGCTCCCGGGCTTCGGCCCCTGCCGGAGCCGCTCGTGCGTCCGCCACCCGTCTGCCCGCTCGGTGCCTGTCCGCCCTCCCGCCACCAGCTCCGTCCTCGGGCCTGGCCCCCCGCGGCCTCGGGCGCTCCGGAGGGCGACGAGGAGCGCGGGGGCCGCGGCGCACCGGGCAGGGCGCGCGGGGCGCACGGCGCGGCGCCAGCCCATGAGGCTTCCCGGCGCCGGGAGAGGCAGCGCCGGGCGGCCATGGGGGGCAGCCTGCGGGTGGCTGTTCTGGGCGCCCCGGGTGTGGGCAAGACGGCAATCATCCGCCAGTTCCTCTTCGGTGACTACCCCGAGCGTCACCGGCCCACGGACGGGCCGCGCCTCTACAGGCCTGCAGTGCTGCTCGACGGTGCCGTCTACGACCTGAGCATCCGCGACGGCGACGTCGCTGGCCCCAGCCCGAGCCCGGGGGGTGTCGAGGTAGCGGCTCGAGAAGCGGGCAGGGGCATGTGACAGTGTGAGGTGTGTGTGTGTTCGGTGCACACGTGCGTGTCCGCGTGGATGGCCCCGGGGCGCCCGACTGCGCTCAGGGATGGAAAGATGAATGAGTGTCCCGGTATCATGTGTGCTTTAGCCCTCCCTGCAGGCCTGGAGGCGCCCAAGCCTTGGGCGCGGAGATTTTGCCAAGTGGCTTTTGCTTCCTCCTGTGGGTGCCTCTGTCTTTGCCTGCCTCCACGGCTGGGTCCGGATCAGTACGGGGCGAAGCATGGCCGCGCCTCCCCGAGGGTGCGGCGCGTGTGTTTGGGGTCCTGAGCAGAGCCGCAGCGAAGAGACTGGGGCCAGGCACAGGGGTGTACTTTCTAGGGGAGACATTCTATGCTCCCTCATTCCTGTGCCCTGTAGCAAACACTTGTTTAGTAATTTGTGCAAAGTCCCGGACAGACCTCCAATCCTAGGAGCTGAATGCCACGGGGAGGTGTAGAGGAAAGGAGCAGGCAGGATTAAGCAGCGCTTCCTGGCGGGGGTGGCATTTAAGCTGAACCTGGAACTAATTTACTGAGTGAATTTTTCAGTAAAAAGTGGCAAGAATCATTTCAGGTAGAAAGACCAGCAGGTGCTTAGGCCAGAGGCATAACCGTGTACAGCTGTCGACAATCGGTGGTCTCTGGGGCGTGGTGGAGCGTGGGGCTCCAGCTGAGGGCTTTGGAATCAGTCTTAGAGGCAGTATTACCAGGAGGGCGTCTGGGGAGGAGAGTGGCCTGAGACCAGCTGAGCTGGGGAAAGCTGGAAAGAAGAGGAAGATGGGGGGCTGCAGAGAGGAGAGCAAAGGTGAAAGACGGGTTCCAGGCACGATTTGGAAATTTTTGCCCTGGTGGCCATGAGGACTGTAGGGCCGGTGGAGCTTGGGGAGGAGGCACAGAGATCAGACAGGGGTGGCGGAGGCCTGAGGATGAACTGTGGGTTTAGCGTCAAAGTCCCTGCAGGGGGTTAGGGGGTGGATGGTAGGAAGGGGGATCCCGCAAACCCCGGCCTCCCGCCCCCAGGAGTGGCCGGACCCTAAGGATTGGAGCTTGCAGGACACGGACGCCTTTGTGCTAGTCTACGACATCTGCAGCCCGGACAGTTTCGACTACGTGAAGGCCCTGCGGCAGCGCATCGCGGAGACCAGGTGAGGGCGCGCCGGGAGGCGGTGGTGGGCAGCTCTTGCTGGTCTGGCCCGGCTTTGCTCGAGGGGAGTGAGCAGGTTCTCCCACCGTCGTGGGCCGGGTCTTGGGCCCTTGGCCTCAGGCCTTTGCCCGTGGGAAGGTCTCCAGCTGTATGCGATCTTTGGCCCACAAGGGCCTGGTGTTTGTTAGGGAAGTCTCTGGGCGTAGGAAGGGGATGCGCCTACGTGTATATACCCACGGGGGGATTCTCCGGCCGTGGGGTCCCTGACGCCGCGTCTCTAATCCCCATCCATCCGGCCCATAGGCCGGCGGGCGCGCCGGAAGCGCCCATCCTCGTGGTAGGCAACAAGCGGGACCGGCAGCGGCTGCGCTTCGGACCGCGGCGCGCGCTGGCAGCCCTGGTGCGCAGGGGCTGGCGCTGCGGCTACCTCGAGTGCTCGGCCAAGTACAACTGGCACGTGCTGCGCCTCTTCCGCGAGCTGCTGCGCTGCGCTCTGGTGCGCGCCCGTCCTGCACACCCAGCCCTACGCCTGCAGGGGGCGCTGCACCCCGCGCGCTGCAGCCTCATGTGACCAGATGGGACGCCGCCGCCGTTGGGTCCCCCATTTGACTGAAACAGCCAGGGACCTGCATTGGACCAGATTGCCCAACTTCACTCTGAATGGACAGGGCACAGTCTCCTCCCTGATTGGATGAGGAAACCCTCCCACCTAATCTCCTGGGCGACAGGCCTCTCTTTGAACTTCATTGGACCCAGCCAGGTCCAAGCCCCATTGGACAAGACTGGTCCTTTCTGGGACCTCATTGGGTCACAGGCCCACTGAATGGAAAGGACTTGGCCATGAATGTGACCGGAAGTGCTCAGACTGCTCCTGGAGCTTCCCTGGACATATTCTTTATGCCACACCTCTCACTCCGTAATAAAAGGGGAAACAATTTGAGTTCACCTGGGATTTCTGGGTTGGGCAGGGTAGAGTCCGTCAGAGCTGCCGGGCTTGGCCTCCTGGCAGTCACTTCCAGAATCCCAACATGTAATGAAGACCCTCAAAAGGGTGTGATGGCCCCAAGGCTGAGTCCCCAAGAAACAGACAGGTGGCTGGAGCAAAACTTTACTGTCAGAGGCTCTCCTGAGCCACAGGTCCTCAGGACACCGAGCTGGACCGGTGGCCTCTAAGGCATTCAATAATATTAGTAATTAAATAGCAACGCTCATCCCCCAACCGGAATGTACAACAGAGGTCCCATTGTGCCATGTGGTCCCGAGGGGTCTGGTCCCATGAGGTCTGGTACTCAAGAGGTGGAGGGGGCTCCCTGATGCAGAGGGGGTTAAGGCCACAAAGGAAAAGGAGAAGGAGTGGGGTCCGGGGCAGCTGGGCTGGTCCATCACATCCAGGAACCCGGCTCGGCCCTCGGGGTGACCGAATGCAGGGCATGCCAGGCCCCGAGCTCTGCCGGTGCGGATGGGCGACGAGGGCCCCGAGGTGTGGGGATGCGTGAGGGTTTACGGTCTGGCTGCGTGTCCATCCGACCCCGCGCCCAGGTGCCCGAGTGTTCTGGGCCAGCCAGGGTGCTCCCAGCTGCATCTAGTGGTCCCCCCATGCCGGGGCAGGGGCTGCCTTCATCGGAGGAACTGGACAGGGCTTGGCCGCGGGGCCCCGGCAGCCCGTTGGCCGTCCGGCCGGAGTCCCCAGGTTGGCCACACTTGCCCCCCAGGACGCTGAGGGATGAAGAGGAGGAGCTGGAAGAACAGTAGGCAGAGTCAGGAGCTGGAGGGTCTGGGGCCCGAGCCGGGTCAGGCGCTGGTCCGGTGGGGGTCCCGCTAGCAACAGCCTCAAGGACGCGGGCGTTGGCCAGGAACTCCTCCTCCAGGCGCCGGAACAGCTGCTGCTCCTGCTGCGGGTCAAGCTGCAGGGGTGTGCGGAAGACACTGGCCGGTGTGGCGCCCAGCTCTGGACTGGGGCTGGAGAGCGGGGGAAGCCGGGGCGCTGCAGGGCTGCGGGCACGGGGAGTCTGGGGGGTGCTCCTGCCAGAGCCCCCGCTGCCCCTGCCCCGCGGCACCCATGAGTGCTGCCCATCTCGATCCCTGCGCACGAGCAGTACCGCCTGCTCCTCGCGGCTCTGGCTCCGGGCCCGCCGGGCAGGGCTGGGGACCGACAGCTGCGCTCCCCTGCCTCCTGCGGCCCCGCGCGGCCGCGCCCGATCCAGCCCGTCTCGGGATTGGCTGCGCGGGGTGGGGGGCTTTCTTGGAGAAGCCGGGGTGCCTGTGGTCAGCCGCCGGCTGGGTCGCTCCCTCCGGGGGCCAGTGCTTGTGTCGTCACTGCGGGCACCCAGGGGGCAGCTCTGGGCTGAAGAGGCTGAGGAGTCACTGTCCCCGGAGTAGCGGCGGGAGCGAGGATAGGGGGGCAGCTGATCCCGGGGCCTGGGACAGGGGAACAAGAAAGAGATGGGGCATCACAAAGGCCTGGCATGCAGGAAGGGCAGGGATAGGAACAGCAGGTATGTGGCTGGTGGATGGGAGTGCTGGTGGCTGTCCAGGGCATCTGTGTGTCCTGGGGACTTCCAGGGAGAAGTGAGACACTCAGTAGCAGCTTCCTGCAGCTGCCCGGGGGCCGGAGGCAGAGGAAGAAGGTCTCCGGGGCCCTAGACTCCCCTCCCCAGCCCTCCAGTGTCCCCTAGGGCAGACCAGACCGAAGCAGGGGGTGGACGGGCCACCGCCCAAGCCCCAGCGCCGCCCCAGCTGTGTTGTTGGTTTGGTTGGGTTGCCATGGAGATAGGAAGCCAGGCCCACCCCCACCCACGGGAACTTTTCCCAGGGTGTGAGTCACTCTGGAGCACAGGCAACTCGTCATCCAGGCCAGGACTGACGCCCCCACCCTCTGGACCCCCCATTTTCTCCCACATCTTACCTGGGTGGGGTCTCAGGCCCCTCCTTTGTGCTTCGTAAGCTGAGGGGAGTCACCTCTGGCCGGGAGCCCCTGCGCTCACTCCCCGGGACTGGGCTACCAGGGCGGGGGCTGGGGGTGGGTGACACCCTGGGTGGGGAGAAGGCGCGGGCCCTGGGCTGGGGCAGGCGATGGGCTGTGGGGGGAGGACAGGCGGCATGTGAGGGAGGGGGCCACAGAGATGGGCCCCAGGCCGGCCACCCGCATCCTGGCACTGACCGGTGGAGGAGCAGCGACAAGGGTCATGCTTGTCCAGGTAGTGTTCTAGTGTGTCCCAGCCACCACCCACACGCACCATCACGTGGCTCCTCAGCACCTGCAGGGCCGGTGTGGGCAGGTCACAGCTGTGTCCCATGGGCCTGGCAGCCCACCCCCTTGCTGCTGCCTGCAGGGAAAGCCCCGGACTCTCACCCGCACGAAGATGAGCAGGCTGGAGTCTCCCACGCGGTACTTCCCCTCCGAGACCTTGATCATGGGGAACTGGTCTGGGCAGGTGCAGCGGCCCAGGATCTCCCTCACCTGAGGCCCCGGAGGAGGAGAAGCTGGAGGTCAGGGGTCAAGTCCCTCCTCCTGGGGCCTGGAGTCAGCAGCTCCAGGGGCAGGAGGAAGCAAGTCCTTCTGGGGAATGGGGGATGGCAACTGTGCTGCCCAGACGTGGGGGCGGCTTCCACATCTGACCTTTCACCAGCTCCCCTCATCGCTCAGGGCCCAGGGAACAGCCCAGGAGAAGATGGTGGGGCTGTGGTCAGGCCAGGGCCCAGGCCCTGATGAGGAACATCCCACAGCCCGTCCTCATCCCCCTTCACCCACGTCACAGCCAAGAAGGCTGTGGCCAGGCCCTGGGAGGAGGCAGGTCATGGGACCCAAGCGCAGGGGATCCCCTGCCCCTGGATGGGCACTGACAGAGGGGCCCCACAGACCCGTGGGACACACACAGGCCACCGGCCCGGCCAGCACACTGCACACATGCCCCCCCAGGCCCAGAGCTGCCAGGCTGGCTATGTGGGCGGCCCTGCCCGCCTCCCGCCCACAGCGGCAGTGGTGCCAGAGGAAATGAGCAGGTGGGGCCTTGGGTGACCCTGGCCCGGGACGGGGGTAGGGCGCCAGCCTCTGCCCACAGCCATCCAGCTACCCGCCTCCTGGGCAGGCACATCACAGTCCTAACCTCCCGATAAGAAGGAAACTCTTGGCCCGGCTGCGGGGGTGGCAGGGACACCCAGGTCCAGGGAATGGAGGAGGCAGCGGGGGGCATGGGCCAGCACCTCCCTAAGCTCAGAGTGGGACGGATCCTGCAGCTCCAAGCAGGACTTCCTGTTCCCACAAACAGCAGCAACTCGGGGCTAGGCTCCCAGTGGTGCCTGGGGAGTGGAAGAGAACTGCATAGCCCCTGGGGGCTTCCCCAGGCACTCACTGAGCACCTACTGTATGCCAGGCACCTTGCCCAGGTCTTTCCATGCCAGCTCTCTCAACCAAGCATCATGGCACCCACTCAACCCTGCACCTCCAGGAGGCTGTGGATGCATCTGTCTGATACTGAGTGCAGGGGGTGCACATAGGAGGTGCCCCCATCATGCAGCCCCCAGAAGAAGGAATGCACACTTAGCAGGTGCATGGTTAGCACATACAGGAAGGGAAGATGACGCCAGGAGCCAGGATTCTACCCTGGGCCCAGCTGGCCTGTGTGACCTTACTCAGCACCTCCCCATCTCCTTGGGGCCAAGTATACACTTGGTGCTTAACATATGCAACCTTTCCGTGGGGCAGGCTGTCCCGTAGATATCAGAGTGGACCCCAGGAGGTTCAGGGACAGGTCGTGGGCACTGGCGCTGCCATCTGGGCTCTCGTACGCAGTCCTGGGGGACTCACCAGCTCGTCGAGGTTGCGCAGGTCGCTGAGGGTCATGCGAGGCCCGCGGGTCGGAGCCCCTGGTGCAGCAGCGGTTTCAGTGGGGTCGTCCCCAGCCGCAGGGGCATTGGGGGCTGGGGGTGCAGCACGCAGCTCCCGCTCAATCTCCTGTTCGAACTGCACGAGGCGGGGGGCGAGCAGGCCGAGGCGGGCCCCACGCCGTGCCACTTCCAGCAGACACAGCACCACGCTCTTCTCGTTCTTGCGCAGCACCAAGTCCTCGGTCTCAAACATGAGCACTTCGGGCACGCCCAGCTCTGTGCGGCACCAGCCGATGAAGGTGGCCACGTTGTCTCGGGCCATGAAGGAGCCAGGTGCCACATTGTGCGCCTGGAAGGCCACACCTCGGGCTGGGTGGGCAGCAGCCAGTGCGCGGGCGGCCTCAGTGACAGCGTTGGCATGTTGGCATAGGGTTGTGCCTGTGGCCAGTCCCGTCAGGAAGCCATCGCCACCACCGGGCAGACCCAGGCTGTACAGGGCGTTGAGCCATTCGGCCAGGTCCTCCTTCATGGCCTCCACGTAGGCCTCACTTGAGCGGAACGGCCGCACACTCTTGGCCGCTGAGCCTGCGATGCTTGCCACTGGGTCCGCCATGCCCGGGCCAGCCGAGTCACTGTGGGCAGGGACACAGGGCAGGATTGCTGTGAGGACCCAGAAAGTGCTCAGTACAGACTAAGCCGCTGACCACCTGCACCAACCTGTCACTCAGGCCAAATGCCAGGTTTACATACTGGGTGTGAGAAACCACTCAGTGCCTCAGTTTCTTTATCTGCAAAATGGGTACAGTAATGCCTCATAGGATTCAATGGGATAATTTTTTTTTTGAGACAGGGTCTTTCTGTTGCCCAGGCTAGAGTGCGGTGGTGACATAGCTCACTGCAGCCTCCAACTCAAGCGATCCTCCTGCCTCAGCCTCCGGAGCAGCTGGGATTACAGGTGCATGTAACCACACCCGGCTTCAGTGGGATAATTTTTATAAACAACTTAGTGTCCATAGGTGTTTGCAGTTTGGCTCTTTTGTGGGGTGGGGGTTGGGGGTTGGCTGAGGCCTCCCTCCTGAGCAGGGTGAAGGGCTGAGACCGGAGAGGTAAAAC